AGAACAAAAAGATCCTCTCATTTGACTACCACCTAGTCCTTCAAAGAGTATTTTCAAAGATCAGCCTTATCCTGATGCTGTCAGCCCTACTATCTGGGGATCTGGACCTTCATCCTACCTGGGAAAATCCAAAGACATCCCCCTCTCCCCTAATCTCCAAGATAGTTCCAAAATACCTCCAAACCAGTTCCTCCCCCCACCAACTTCCTACATCAGCCCCCATCATCATTTCTGTAATTCCTCATGGGTCTAATAATGCTCTAGAAATTTCTTTTCTTCCTGAGGCACATGTAATTCCTCTGGCTAATGGGCCATTTCTCTCAGATGTCTGCTATTGAGAGGCTGATTTCCTATTACAGGGAAATCATCCCTTTGGTGCCCACCTATATAATGGCTCCTTCTGTCTGTGACTGTGAGTGACAATTGTCCTGGCCCTAGGACACATTGCAAGAGATGCTTAGCAGTTTCACCTGCTACCTTTTCCTTAAGTATGCATCCCTCAGTTCCTTTGACTAAACCTTGCCCAAGATCATAAAAATATATACAGACAAAATGACAATCTATACAATAATAAAAGTAACATAAATTGATCCAGCATAGCACTGGCATTCTGACGAGACAAGACATGTCATGTTGGTGAATTAAACAAAAGAAAACATTCACGACATCCCACAAAGCACCAAAAATTGGTGGGTTTCATGATATATATCTCAAGGAAACTACTTTATACACCACACTGCACTATTTGTGGGTCTAAGTCAAAACTGTCCTTTTGACAGTACTTAAATATCCATTGGAGAGCAGGGAGTAGAGCTCAGGTTTCCCATCTCCCAGGTGAGTGTTTCATTTTAATGAGGCCTCAATAACTATTTATGAACTAGAACACCACCAGCAGGAAAGAATATCCCCTAGCTTCATGCTTAAGGCATTATCCTGTAAGGGAGAAGGGCCTCTATGTTCAAATCCTGTCAGACAAATGAGGGAATGAGGAAACTGAAGTTCATTTGGGTTTTTTTCCATTTGTTAGAAGTTTTTTTGTTTTGTTTTTTGCCAACCTGAATGCTCATTCTCAATTGGCTAACAATTCTGGGATAATTGAATGGAATATTGAATGAATATTCATTCAATATTCACTGGGGAAGTCCCTGTTCCCCCGAGCACTGCCAGGAGTGACCAGGAATAACGGTCACAAGCTGGCAGAGGGTAGATTTAGGCTAGATATCAGGAGGCGCTACTTCACGGTGAGGGCG